GATCAGCTGAAGCAGCGGGGTGTTCGCTGGGGTTGGCAGTGACAGCACCGAACCCGTACGCATCGTGCGAGGGCGGCTGCGGACTGGATGGCAGGACGACCGGACGACTATGCACCTTTTCTGGAAGAGCGCTGGACGGATACCTCCACAAGATCCGGGACACGGCTGAATGGGGCGGACAGCTAGAGCTTGCGGCGCTGGCGGCGCGGTACGGGGTCGAGATCAAGGTCGTCCAGGACGGGCGTACGGAGACGATCGAGACGCCAAGCGGCGGCAAGGACGGCAAGGCGACTGAGGTCATATGGCTGGCGTACTACCCCCACGGTTACGGTCTGGGTGAGCACTACAACTCACTTCGTAAGGCGGCGTGAAAGAAACGACTACGAATATAATTGGATCTACCAACAGCGAGGTCTACGTCTATCCTGTCTTTCGCCATAGCCGTAGGCGATTGACCTTTACGCGCCGACGAGGCTCCACACGTGGAGCCAATCTCGCACGGTTCCATCTTCGTTCTCACCAGCCTTGTGAGTGCGAGCGGGCTTGACAAGCTCGAGACGGCGCAAGCCGCCGGGTCTAATATCAGGCACGTTGATGCTGCCGTCGGGGGCTGTCGTGGGCTCTTCGCCGGGACGCGCGAGAAGTGCGAGGTACGTTTCGTTGGTCAGGCCCCACGGGGGACCAACTTGGGAGAGGGGCTTTCCTGAGGGGAATTCGAGACAGACCAGCCGTCCCCCGTTGGGGTTGAGGAGGGCTGCCATGCGGGCAGCCCACTTTGGGCGAGCAGACAATGGGAGGGCACAGAGAAACTACGTAAGTTCGTTAGCTGTGCTAGCCTGGTGTGGCGGGAGGGGAGCCGGAAGATGGCCTGTGTGACTTACGGTGTAGTCGAAGATGAGATCAAAAGTGGTTCCCTCGCTGATATTGCTCTGTTCAAGCCACTCATTGCTGAAGAAGTCGCCGGTGGCCCAGGCTACGGCGCCCACTGACGGAACGCCCTCCTTGGGCTTGTAGACGTCGGCGGTCTTGTCACCATCTCGCAGGGCTTCCCGGACAGACTTTTCGTTCTCAATGGCCTCGCTGGCGGCAGCTGGAGCAAAGTCCAGCCCGACAACATCATAGCCGAAGGCGGCCAGCAGCAGGACATCGTGGCCCTTGCCGCAACCGGGGACGAGGGCTTTGGGTCTCGGCGCGGTAGAGGATGTGACAGGAGGTACGAGATTGGGACGGCTCAGGAGGAAATCGTTGAGAGCAAGCGAGGGGCCACCACGGTCCCAGGGTGTTTTCTTTTCCTCCCAGAGCGCGGACCACTTGGGGCCGTGAGAGGCGAGGGGAGACATGGCAAAGGTGGAGGAGAGCTTGTTGGAGTTGTGGTCCGACATGACGTGTTGTTTCTCATGTAAGTGGCTTCTTGAATTGTGCGACTGTAGATTTCCAACATGGAGTTTGCTTTTCCCGCACTTAGATGTCGTCTCGCCGTGCTCGGGTTGGAGAAGGGAAGGCCAGGTTCAATCAAGTGTACCTACCTAGGTAAGCGTAGGCGAGGAAGCTATATATATAGATCGGATCATACGGGAGCAGAGCGTAGGGAGGTCCTCATGTGAGGGACGTCGTTTTATTCTTATGTAATCAGGCCCCGCCGTGGCACCTGCCACCAGTACCCGACGTCGCCGAGGAGAGGAGGCAGCACCCCAGCGTAACCCCAATGACGCTGCCCTGACTGCCTAAGTGACCCCTGCCTCCAGACTTCGTCTCGGCGACCCAAGATCCCCATGACCAACCCTAACAGTATCGGGCCTCGACAGCTTTCTTGCTCCGATTTCTAATCTTAAAACATCAACGAATGAATACCCTCTGCCCCCGTCCAGGTTCGATGCGAACCGACACGATGCGGCGAGGCCGCTTGTTTCGCCGAGTTACTGGCTCACCCTGCGTCTTCGGGGTTCCACCTCCGCACCCACAGCCATTTTAGGCCGATACTCGCACCGGTCTCTGCCGCCGCTTCGGTCTTCTGCACTTGGGGGGTGTTCTGTTCATAAGCTTGACAGCTTTCGCACCTCGGCCTCGATAGCTTCGCTTTAACCATTCACCATCACCACCTCCGCCACCATGGCTGACCTTGCCACCTGCCGTCCCCTCACCCGGGACTCGGTCATCGAGGCTCACGCCCTCATCAAGCCCCTCGTTCACCTGACCCCCGTCCTGACGAACAGGACTCTCAATGAGTTGGCTTCCACCCCACGCCATGTCGCCTCGCTCACCGGCACAACATGGCAAGGCCGCACACCAGCCAAGCCCACTCTTCGCCTCTATTTCAAGTGCGAGAATTTGCAGCGCATCGGTGCTTTCAAGGCCCGCGGCGCGTTTCATGCCATTGAGCGCCTCAAGATGGAGCCTGGATGGCGCGAGGGCGGCGGCGCCCAGCGGGGCGTGCCACACACAGTTCCGGAAACACGCCCAAGCCCTGGCCCTCGCCGCCCGCGAGAGCTCCATCCCTGCTCATATTGTCATGCCCTCCGTGTCCCGCCCCAATAAGGTCGCCGCCACAAAGGGCTACGGCGCCATCGTATACCCGAGCGGCTCCACGAGCGTCGAGCGTGAGGCCGTCGCCAACGAGGTCATCGCCGCCACCGGCGCACGCCTCGTCCCGCCCTACGACCACCCCGACATCATGCTCGGCCAGGGAACCATGGGCCTCGAGTTTCAGGACCAGGCGCGAGACCTGCTGCCCGCCGGGAAGAGAGACCTCGACGCCATCGTGACACCCTGTGGAGGTGGCGGGATGCTCTCTGGCGTTGCCCTGAGCTGCGAGGGAACTGGTATCCGCGTCTACGGGTCAGAGCCGGAGTATGAGGGCGCTGACGACGCCAAGCGTGGCTACGAGGCGGGCAAGCGTGTTGAGACCGTCAAGAGTCGAACCATTGCCGATGGTCTGCGCACTCCCCTCGGCGTCCACCCGTGGGGCGTCATCTATGAACGCAAGCTCGTGAGCGCCATGTTTTCTGTATCCGAGGATGACATCTTGCAAGCGACGAAGCTCGTTTTTGAGCGGTTCAAGCTCGTCATCGAGCCAAGTGCCGCCGTGCCATTGGCCACTGCGCTCTACAACGAAGACTTCAGAGCCATGGTGGAGAGGGAAGCTGGCGAGGCTGGCTGGGATCTGGGGCTTGTTTTCAGCGGAGGCAACATTGCTGTGGATGGGCTAGCCGAGCTCTTCGCGGCGAAACAGCAGCCATAAGTATAGTCATGGTGGATTGGGACCTGAAGCTACCGCT